CCATGGTGTGGACAGACACTATCCGGTGAATATTGCGTGTGGACGGAAGCTTTTTTGCAATTGCGTTTGCGTTAATCCTATGCGTTTAGTCGTATGCGTCCTCGTGGGACCAGGGCCTTAATAACTACTGTTTCTATTAAAGCGATATAAACAGTCATGGCCACAGCAGTACAGTGTGAGTAATCCCAGATGCCCAGTTTAAGCTTGGCCTTGTATGTGTCTCCAGGCCAGGGCAGGGCTTGCACTCTGGCTCCTATGAAGGACTCATTCTGCAGTGCAAGGAGACAGCAGTGGTGAGGTCCTTATCACACTGAGCCTCTGCTCCGCTCCATCCGGACCCCTCATTTTTACTCAGGCTGGACAGACAGGACAACAAGTCCAAATCAAAAACAACACAGGGTGTCCGCTTATATAATAATATCATACACTATTTAATTCTGACAACAGGATACAATTATAAAAATATGATATTTACATTAATGTAATGATCCCCTGTCTGTCCAGTGGCTGTTATTGGCTGACAAGTGTGTGTGTGTGTGTGTGTGTGTGTGTGTGTGTGTGTGTGTGTGTGTGTGTGTGTGTGTGTGTGTGTGTGTGTGTGTGTGTGTGTGTGTGTGTGTGTGCGCGTGCGTGCGTGCGTGCGATTTGGAGTAGACTAGGACTTTTTTGTCAAAATCTTTTTCTGGTTATGGTCTTATACTTGTACATAGCAAATACAACTTTAGAGCAGACCTAACATTACCTAAATAGTATAATTAAACAATAAAGAAGGGGTTGTAGATCAAACTTAAAGATTTATAAACATCTATTTTTGTGGCTTTAAATCTTAAATATTCATTCTGCTCATCCTAAAGTTAAACAGTTGCCAATTCGCTTAATACTGCATAGTATAAGACCATTCCATAATGGCAGCTGGTTCAAGCTGGTCCAACTTCCTTTGGTTTAATCAGGGAATATATATATTTTTCACAATGATTTTGAGGTTTCATGCATTTCTTTCTTTCTTTGTCTTTTTCTCCCTACCCTTCTCTTTCTGTATACATGCTTTTATCTTCCCCCTCCCTGTGACTTCTTGCCTTCTCTGTCTCTTTCCGCATCCACCTTCTCTCCTCAGCTTCAGTAGGGAGGAGGGAGTTCAGAGCTTGTGCGGCAGTGGAGGAGTGCTCCTCTCTTGCACTGACAAGCTGAACAGACGCACTGTGTTGGTTCGACCCGTCAGCAAGCAAGAATCTTTCAGCCACTTCTCTGGCTTTTTCCCTCCTGTAAGAATGTAGCCCTTCTCCTTTTTAGTTGACTCTGCTTAAACTCCATTAACTGGCTAAAATAATTATATGTGCTTCTCAGAGAGGTTTCGGAAGCCAGTTATTTTACTTGGTTTAAACAATTAGGATTTTGCTGTGGAATGTTTTAATTATATTATTTGTAAAATCACAAATTAAACAGTCATACATACATACTGCTGCAAAGGACACAACCTAAACGGGTTATAACTATATCTCACACTTCTAAATTTGAATAGAGCATTCCAAAAGGGTGCAGATTTTATGATAATTTCCAGTTGATAAATGACTTTACCAACATTTAACTGTTACCGGATGTTTTTGCAGACTTTCTTTTAATCATGCAACAGTTGGAGATGATTTGCTTGTACTGAATGGGTAGTTAAGTGATTATCCCCCTCTTATTGCTTCTCAAATCAAACATAAGATTGGTAATCTTGCTAATCAGATCAATCTGAAGTAATTCAGCCGCAGGTTTCACTATATATATATATATATATACACATATATACATTGCTTTTCATAGAGTTGGCTGATTTCAGGATCCAATCTTAATAGTCGAATATAAATAGATTTGCTCTTGAACGCTTTTTTAGCTAGTAGCTTCAGCTTGAGATGTTTATCAAAACACAGACGGTTGTTTTTTGTTGTTGAGGTTAAGTGTTTTCCTTTAAAGTAAATGCCATGAGGCCCAATTTTTGGAATAAAGATTATAAATCAGCCATTATTAACCAAAATAAGTTTTGATCCAACAGTATAAATCTAGAGTGAAGTTATTTTTTAGAGGATTTACCCCTATCAAATAAATCAGCTGAGAAAGAACAGCATAGTGTTTGTGTCTGCTATCGCTCTGTGTAATGACAACTATCATCAGTGCTATTTGTCTGTCTGACCGCTGGCCAGACTGCAGCCAAGGTCCTGGAGGTCTCTCACCAGCAGCACGGCTTCCTGTCCATCACCTACACCCAGGCTGTCACCAAAAATGTCCGTCACAAACTCACAACCCGGCCGGAGAGACCCCCACGTAGCGGTGCTACCACCAGCAGTCAGCGGCTGACCTCAGACCCCCTGGCAGACAGCTCCCCCCAGTACCTGAGAGAGATCCTGCTGACGGCTCAGCCCTTCGACGTGGTGCTGTCCTGCCCCTTGCTGGCTACTGTAGCGGGGGTGTTCCAGGTACACACACATTGTATTGTCAGTTCCTATTACTGTGTGCTATGCAGGCTTGAGCCTTGTCATCCACATATATGTTTTTTCATTTTTCAAGTGTGCATGAATAAATGTCAATATTTAAATACATTTTGGATAATAATTGCAGTCATTTGGTCAATCTTGTAATATACAGCAAGTTAGTTTAAAGTCTCAGTCAACAATTATATGCAATTTAAAGGTGACTCCTTCATTTATTAATTTGTTTTGTAATTTCACAGCCATTAAGACAACAAAACGTAGTGATAAGATGTTTTGTATTTCATAATTAAATATATTTTACTGGATGTCTTTTCAGGTTACGGTGCCAAGACGCTACAGAGAGCGTGGAAAGACAGCTGGTCAACCAATGAGAATCCACACTCTGACCTCTCGGAGTTTACCCCTGATGTACATCAACACCAGCGTGATCAGGGTCTTCTGTCCCAGTGCACGAGAAAAACTCACAGCATCAGGTTAGAGAACTACTTTTCTCTTTTGAAAGCACATTTGTGTTTTCAAACGGAAAACAACAGGCTATGATTTAGATTATGTAAGTCTGTGGTGCGTGTATGAAAGTCTCTGTCATGGCCGCCCAGACAAAGCAAAGACACCACATTAGACAGTTGCAAAGACAAATAGTTGTAGTTTCAACGAACCAACCACAGTTATTTACACTCCTGCAAATATAATGTAATGCCATATTGTCATAGATCGATGTTATGTCTGCTGGTAGTAATGACTTATAGTGGTAAGAGAGAGTGTGTGTGTGTGTGTGTGTGTGTGTGTGTGTGTGTGTGTGTGTGTGTGTGTGTGTGTGTGTGTGTGTGTGTGTGTGTGTGTGTGTGTGTGTGTGTGTGTGTGTGTGTGATCATCATGCCTGTGTGTGAGGAGGAAAGTTTGTGAGGAAGCTGCAGGGACATTGTGTGCCTCCATTGCATGAGTATGAACTGCTGGATGACTCCCGAAATTAAGAAACATAATAATAATTGCGGGATTAAATGCCAGAATGTAACACCTCTTAATCAAAGTTTGTCGTGCATCATACACCATAGATATTTCTGGCTCTGTGAAGCCAATGTTACCCCAGTCTGCAACAGCTCTGCGTAATTTGCATCCATCTGAAGTGTAAACTTGACGCGGTCTCCTGCGATTCCTGTGATCACAACACCGCAGTTATATGTTAAAGTTAGCTCAGCTGCCATGAAGGCCGCCTGCTGAGAAGCTATGGTTAAGATGTCAGTGTCTTCACACATTAAAGTGTTTAAATTAACATGAACAAAGAAAGCTTTGAGAAGTTTATTTTCGATAACATGTAGCGGGAAGTGCTAATGGCCCATTGTTACAATACAGAAGCCATTGGTGTGTTATTTGACTGAAGTTGTCGCCTGGATGTAAAGCACAAGAAAAGCTATTCTTAACGCATTTGATGACAGATTAAAAGACATTTTTGAAGATATTTTTGTAAAGTTCTACAAGGCAGAAGATGTTCTCTTCGTCCAGTTTTTGTCCAATTTCAAGA